CTTTCTTTCTTTCTTTCTTTCTTTCTTTCTTTCTTCTTCCTTTCTTTCTCTTTTTTGCTTTCTTTCTTCCTTTGTTTGTTTCTTTTTTTCTTTCATGTATTTGGTACAGGATCTCACTATGCAGTTCAGACTCATAGTGATCCTCCTGTTTTCAGCCTCCCCAGTGCTGAGATTACAGCTGTGCACCACCACACCCAGTCTCAATGGCTGGCTCAGTGTGCCTGGGGGCAAGGCTGGCATGGCACATTGTGCTGGGGATTGAACCCCAGTCCCTCTCCTTGCCTAAACTGGTGCTTAGTCCATTGAGCTATCTCACTGGCCACCAGGGAACCAATTTTCTCAGTCCCAGGGACTCTCTTCTAAAATGAAAAGTTCACATCCATTTTTGCACAGTAAGCTTGCAGTGAGTGAGGTCTTGCTGATTCCTTTCTGTTTCTTTTCTTTTCTTTCTTTTTCTTTTCTTTTTTTTTTTTTTTTTTTTGCAGAACCAGGGATTGAACTCAGGCCCTTGTGCTTACCAGGCAACCACTTTTTCTACTGAGCCATCTCGCCCCTGGCCCCTCGCTGATTCCTGAGATAATCTCAGAACATCTTTCTTCCTATCCTCATATAAAGTATTTGCTTTTTTTTTTTTAATGGTGGCCTTTATTTATTTATTTATTTATTTATTTAATAGCCAAAATTTGAGTTTCTAAAACTTTTCTTCTCTGCTATTTGACCCCAATTTTCACTACAAATCTTGCTAAAAGCAGCCAGCTATTGCTGAGCATGCCCATGCCACAACCTTGTCACGTCTTGAATTTCCGCTGTCAGACTAACTAGTCTTAGAGTCTCACAAATTTTTAGAACATGAACAAATTATAGACAAATTTCTGCCAAAATGCAGCAGACAGCCTCTAGTCCAACAGCCAATGGACTAGAGTCCTTCCAAAATGAAGCCTCATAAGCGTGGTCTTTACTGTCTGTGTCCTGGTCAGCATTCTGGTCTTCTGAACTCCAAACAGAATCACTCATCAGACTATGCTTCCTGGAATCTAAACTCCTCTAGCCCACATCTTCAAACCTTTCCTAACTCCTCCAGCAAATCTGTTCTAAATGCCCTTACACTGCATAGTCAGATATAGCAATAACTGCCCTTTCCTAGTACCAATTTTCTGTGCTAGTTAGCCTTTCTGTCACTAAGACACAATACCCAGCACTCACAACTTAGAGAAAACAATGTTTCATGTAGCTCATGGTTTCAGGAGATTCAGGACATAGTTGGCAGGCTTGAAGGCAGAGGCCTCATGGGAAAGGAGGAGGGTGGAGTCAAGATGCTTATTTCATGGCGTCTGGGAAGCAGCAGGGCAGGCACTCCACAGCACAAAGAGAGACCAAACACAGACCCTGTCATGGTTTGTGTCTAGTTGTCCCTCCCCAAAGCCTCATGCAGTTTTGGGGCAGACATCTTGAGTTTGTGATTAATTCATGATCCAGTGCTGGAATGTTGGGTGTAAGGGTTCCTGGGGTTAGGGGTGCGAGTGCTACTCCTGACCTGGGGTGGGCAGCCTCAGTGCAAGGCAATGGAGACGCACTTGCCCAGTGCAGCCCTTGTTGCTGTTGCTCCTCCCTTTTGCTCTTGCTCTTTTTCTGTTTTCCACCACCGTGAACTGCTGTCCTCTGCCGTGTGCCAGGGTCTGCCTTGGAGGCAACTGAGTATGGACTGAAACCTCTACAGACTGTGAGCTGAATAAACATTTCCTTCCTTAATTCTGGGTGTTGGGTATTTTGTCCCAGCAACAAGAGAAAAGTAACTGAGACAGACCCCAAGCCTTTGACCCCATGGCCCACCCAGATACACTGGGAAGTTTGCTCCACCAATCCTGAGGGAAGATCCAAAATTCATTCAAATTGACATTTCATTTTAAGTGCAGCAACAGTTTTAGGAAGTGATTCAAGTTAAATGAGATGAAGCGGATGGGATTTGGAAGGCTTGCACAAAGAGGAACCATTCTTTCATACTCATTCACTTTCTCCTTTTTTCTTCAGGAAAATGTGCTAAGGAAAGATCATGTGAACACAGTTGAGGAAGGCATCCATCTGTAAGTCATGAAGAGCCTTCTCTAAAACCCACCATGCTGGCTCCTTAATTTTGGGCATATGCCCTTCAGAATGGCAAGAATATGAATTTCTGTTGATTAAATCACCCAGTTTATGGGATTTTATTATGGCAACTCAATCTAAATGACATACCTTAGTTATTTATAGTAGAAAGACTATGAGAAAGAGATAAAATGGATAAAGGCATAGCACCAAAGGAAAATGTTGTACTGGCCTGGAAGAGGCTGCTTGCAATAAAAATGAGCCTGGAAGAGAACCTGACCTGGTAACTAAGCCCCTACGCACCTCAGATGCCCTTAGAAGAGTGGTATTAGGGCAGCACTCACTGCTACATTCAAGTTGGGTATTAATTTCACTTGACAGATTAATGCCTGTGTCTCTAGATTATTAAATAATATCACTTTCTCTATAGTGGTAGGAAGTCTTGCATGTGGACTTTCAGAGAGTGGTAAATGAAAATGCATCACTTTGAGAAGGCTTTGCAAAGGGCAGAGAGGACACCAGTGCTGATGGCACTCCTCAAGCAAGAGAAGGTGGGCCCCAGGTGACCTGGCTTAGGACCCTGCAGGCTGAGTCAGGAAAAGGCTGCTTTTCCTGACTGTCATTCTCTTGGTAGTAGAACAAAAAGTGTTAATATTTAAATGTACAGGTAAAGAATAATGGTGAGTAGAAAAATACTTCTACATAGAGAAAGCAACAAACATTACAAACTTCCATAAGCACAGTGAATCAAGATTTTCTGAGAATTCCTATACTCAAATGATTTCTTTGTGCTGCTGAAGATAAATACAGAGGTCCAGAAATAGCAAAAATGAATATTAAGAGTTGGATTCAAATTATATCTGATAGGGCCCAGGGAGATAGCTTAGTAGAATAAGCGCTTGCCTAGCAAGTGCAGGGTCCTGAGTTCAATCCCCAGTACTGCAAAACAACAAAAAAAAATTTATATCTGTTAGTTTTTTGGTCAGAAGCTTTTAAAAAGTTGCCAATTAAAATTGTATATATTTATCTAGGAAAATGTTTTACTTTCTTTGTAATAAAGGATTCTGAGTGAATGACATTGGTAATCATAGCCATCTACTTTACAGTGCTTTTAATTATAGTTGTGATCAAGTTATTGGCTTTGAAACATGCAGAGTTCAGCCTGCATTTTCCCTTCTTATTCCCCAGAAATTCCAAACAAAAGACCCCTACATGAATCTGAGTCATTATGGTATCAGGATTGTCATCGAATCTGCAAGTACAAAGGTAATACCTGGGATACAACTCTCATCCGAGCCAGTCTCTTAGGGCATCTGCTACGAAGTTTTCCTAAAGAAGGTAAATACTCTTGCCAAGACAAAATTTCATTAATTATAAAGGAAAATAGAATTCTAACAGCATGCATGCGGCATGATTTCTAACTAGAGCAGGTTAAGAGAAAAACTAGATGTTTTACACCAGTTGGAGTTATGCATGTTTACTGTTGTGATACTGAAAACAATCATTTAAAAATTTTGAAATTTCTGTATCACATATTTGGAAACCTCATGTATCATTAATCTTGATTATTATTTGTTCAGCCTGAGCTTGTTCTATCAAGAAGCTAAAATAATTATTAGATGTCCTTATATAGTGGTGAAAAATAAGAGCAATAGATAATTTCTTTTATTTGGAATATTTTCTCTAAAAGATAGCTAGGTAGTACTGTCTTCCTAGATAATATCAATATTTTTGATAATGGTATCAAAAATATTTTGATACCATTTGCTGGCAGGTATTGTTAATAATTCCTAAACAGGATATTTTGGATGTATATATGTCTAATGATTCATATATCAGCTTTTAAAAGAAGCAAATGGCAATTGGAACAATTTTAGTTTATCTTATTAGAAACAGATAATAAGTCAGATGATATATTTTAATGACAGTTTGTGGGTTCTTTTCTTTTCTTCTTCTTCTTTTTTTTTTTTTTTTTTTGGTGGTACTGGGGATTGAACTCAAGACCTTGTGCTCGTCAGGCGAGTGCTTATTCTACTGAGCTTGGTTTTCTTCCAAGCATAGCTTTAATTACATTACAAAAGGTTCACTGGGAAGCAGGGAAGGGGGAGTAGATTTCAGATCCAGGAGCCCCCCGATGACATTCTGGTTGCTTGTTAGCTAAGTAGCTTTGGCAATGGACCTATCCTTTCTGAGCTTCTGAAAAAAAATGGAGATAGTAATATTCACTTTGAAATGTCACTGTAAGGCTAGAAATAATGATATGGAACACAGTTACACCCCAGGAAATAGTGTGCGATAGCAAGAGCAGACAACATTCATTGCAGTGGACAGGAAGTAGTAGGTACATAATGAGAGGATACAAGAAATAGTTCATTTGCAATATGCAACTCACTATGATTATTACTATTATTATCGTACCTGGTGGAAGTGTTCCATGTTTTGATAAGGATTTCCCCAATCAAAGGCTTGGAGTCGATCAGAATTAAAAATCTAATATAAAACAAAAACAATGACTATATTAAAATGATATTTAAAAAGCACAAATTAAATGTTAGCAAGCAATCAATATACAAAGAAGTTTGATATTATGTCCCACTCTTTTGTCACATAAGCTAAGTATGAGTAAAGATTAAGCAGTGACATACTAAAGCGTATAAAAATGGACACTGACTCTCAGAGCTGATGTTCAGTTTGCTCTTCCCACGCTTCTCCTTATGTAAGTCCACAGACAGCATGCCTCTCGGTGTCACAAGCATGTGCATTAACTTTTATTTCCAATGGTAGGAACTGAATCCAAAACTTGAACATGTGTTGTGCAAGTACACACACTCAAATATTGTTTTATCTCTGAGCTTCAACTTTAGCTTTTTACAGGCTTTTTTTTTTTTTTTTTTCAGAACCGGGGATTGAACTCAGGCCCTTGCACTTACCAGGCAAGCACGTCTTCTGAGCCATCTCTCCAGCCTCAGTTGTTTAAAATAATATATGTAGAGGGCTGGGAAGATGGCTCAGAGATCTAAGCATGTGCCTGGCAAGCACAAGGACTCGGGTTCGATCCTTGGTACCACATGCTGGGCCAGTCCTGGAATGCTGGATATGCTGTGCCTGCCACTGAAACCGAGCATGGTGGCACACACCTGTAATCCCAGCTCTGAAGAGGATGAGACAGGAATATCACTACAAGTCCACGCTGCATAAAGAGACCCTGTACTAAATAAATAAGTAAAATGGTACAAAAAAATCTGTAACTAAAAAGGGCGAGAGAGATAGCTCAGTGGCATAAGCATCTGCCTGGTAAGCTCAAGGTCCTGTGTTTAATCCCTGGTACCGCACACACACACACGTAATATCTTGGGTTATACACTGTATAATAACATGTTACATAGATACATAACAGTATACTATATATAATTATGTATTTATAAGCACATAAATATATGTATGCATTTGGTCATCAACTATAAATCTAAAACATTCAAAATTACTAATGATTAAAATATATTATGTGCAAATACAAATCTGCCCAAACAAAGCCCATTAATCTCTGTAACAAATGGATTAGTAAAAATATGGGGAAAAAGTTAAAAAACTATTACTGTTTTCACTTGAACACTTTTGTACCTTATCTATCAATATCATGACTGTATTCTCCATCTTACCACATTCTGCCTTTTGGAGTGCGAGCTCACCCACTTAGTTCTCCACATTTCTGTGTGAGGCATGGTGTTGCTCGTATTGCTCATCTGCAGGGCTGTGGCGTGTGCTGTGTTGTAAGCGGTGTAGTCCTAGGGTGAGTGTTTGGGGCACTTGGCCTGGCAATGGGTATTTTCTTCACTTTTCAAAAGGAGTGAGGCTCATGCAATGGCCGAGAATACAGGCAAGGCTTGCACAGTGAAAGACTAAATACAGACAGACACATGTTCTTGGCTCAGCAGTGATATGAATTGAATGTGTCTTGTCTCTGAGCTTGTCAAATATAGTAATGTAATAAAGCAAAAAAAATTTAACTGACAGTAAAATCACTAATGACTGATCTATTTAAATCTCTCCCTAGAATTTATTTTAACTAAAACATTTCATTACTCAGAAATGCATCACATGCTAATTAGAGAATTAAACATCTTTCTGGAATAGACGGTGTCATGTTATGTAAGGTCCTGCTGCAGCTGCTGATTCTCTAAAAGGCAAAATATACTCTTTCCTTGAAAAGGCATTTTGGGATAATGTAAAAATGGGAATGTGGCCAGACCACGAGGGACCCAGGCAGACATGGAGGACAGGAAGACCAAAGGGAGCAAAGGAAATCAAAATCAGGGGCTGGTGCTCATTCCAAAATAACCCGAGTGAGCTCTCCCGAGCTGCCTGCAGAGCCCTGTGGTGCAGTCTGAGGGCGCCCCCTTCTAGCATCCCCCAAAGCCCTGGGTATTGGGAAGCACATACCTGACCCCAGTGCAGCATAGTCTGAACAGAAGTTCCTGCAGGTGTCTTTGACATATAAACGTCCAAGCGGCTCTGCAAAGAGATAATTTCTTGTCTGTAGGCCAATCATATAATCAAAGTGAAGATTTGATAGAGATCTGAATGTTTTCTCTTTTATTTTTGTTATGTTTTTATTTATATATGCCATACCACGTCTGACCACACAATAACCAAAGAGGTCCGTCGTTAACGAATTCCTGCCTCCTCAGTTTTGCTTTTCTGTCCTAGGCAGTGACTTCACACCCTCCACAGAGGGCAGCCCCCTGGCGGCAGGTAGAGGTAGGGCACAATTTTTTCTAGACTCATCTCACAGCTTCAAGAATGTATGAGGTCAAAGGATTAAAAGACTCATGACCTCCTTCAGGCTGTGCTAAGTCCCAAAGAACATTCAGAGAAAGATTTGATTTAAAAAGCATTGAGAGTGTATCTGAACTTTTCCTTTTGCTTGCTTGAGTTTAAAAATGTCTAGGCTGGCTATATGGCTCCATGGCACAAAGCCTACCTGGCAAATAGAAGGTACGGAGTCTAATTCCCCCTACCTCAAAAAAGTCTCAATATTCTACAGACTGTATCGCTACTTTGCATGACAGAATTCATCCAATACATTAGATTTCTTCAGGGTCAAAAGAACTTGCTTCATATTTTTAATTTCATTTTTGATATAAAAAGTTGTTACTAATATTTATTTTACCAAAATGAGTATCAAAAACATCTTGGACCTTAAAAAAATACCCCTACTTATGAGCTATCCAAACCTATTAAATTAAAGTAGAACTGTCTAGGGTTGAGTTTTGGATGTGTATATTTTTTCCGAAGTTCCACAGAAACTGCTAGGCACCCCTGACATGCTGCACTAATGTTAATACCCTTCAAGCCCTGGTGAGGATTTCTGGCAGTAAAGCTTCTTCTCAGTCCTCCAACGACAGCTGGGAGCCTCTCAGTCCTGTTCTGTGAGCCATGGGTACACTAATTACATTTTATGAAACAAAAAAAAATCCTAAAATGTGCTTTCTTCACAATCCAGAGTGAACTTGCCTCATCTGCATGATACAAAGCTATCATCTTCTCAGACTCAACCCCTGATACATACCATGTTTAAGTTTTTCATATCAAATCCAGCATGGGTAAAGAGGAACCTGCTGCATAGATGATGGAATATCTTCTTACTGCACACTTTGGTGGCAACGAAGTGCTTAAACGGTGTGTGAGGGTGAAACATTTTGTCACCAAACAATGCCTGTGAGATCATTTTAAAGCACTATTAAACCTCATGAAGGAAAGAGTGAGTGATACAACTCAGACAAGAACTGGGTGGGAGGCAACGCCCGCTCCGGGTCAGTAATCAATGAAACCATGGAAGTTTATTTATTTTTTCTTTGTAGTCTTCCCAACTCACCTGTTGTGTATTTCCTCAAGAATCTTTAATCAGTATTTTTGGCACACTCCCTCAGCCCAGGTTCTAGAGGACACTAGGAAGGTTGTGGAGTCAGGCATACTTTTGTTTGAATCTGGATTTTGTCTCTTAGAACTTAGTTTCTTTTTCCTGGATTTTCTTAACTATAAAATGGAAAAACTGACATCTAAAAGGCAGAGTTGTTGAAAATCAACAGAACATGTTTAAAAGAAAACCATGCAGCTTCTAGTACCTAGTAAATATTCCAAGAAATAATTTTGATAATGATTAATGAAAAGAATCTTTTCATTAATTCCTTCTAGAGATAAGAGTTTCACCTAAAGTAGTGAATCTTTGCTAGAGAAATTTCAGGAAGGGTTGTGTGTTGAAAGTACCTCTTTAAGAAAGACTGGACCTTCAGAAGTCTTCATGTTATAACATAAATTGATATCTAATTGCTGTGTGTACTAATCCAATCTTGTCTGTTTTGACATAGCCAGTTTTATAATCTCAGGATAATAAATTAAATATAAGTTTAAAAAACACTTTCTGTGTTCTAAAATGCTTAGAAACGCCTCTTGATAGTAAAAGCTAGCATATATTTCTTCTGGAATCCTTTATTAACTGGCAATTATAACTGGAAAACAATATATTGCAGATAAGAGTAAAACCACAGGGAAAAGGTTGGCAACAAACAGAGGATCTATGAAACAAGGAAACAGACACCTGGAAAGCAACTTGGTGAAGAGCAAAAGAAGCAGAGCTCTAAGAATCAAGGAAGAGCTGATAGCCAGATGTGGTGGCAAAGGCGTATAATCCCAGCATTTGCGTGGCTGAGGTAGGAGAATTGCCACAAATTTGAAGCCAGCTTGAGCTACTGAGTAATATCAAGTCCAGTCTGAATTACAAAGTGAGACCTTGTCTCAAATAAGATGAAACAAAGCAAAAATAACAACAAAAAAAGCAGAAAAAAGAAAGAAACTGGCCCAATCATCAAGGTCAATGACACCATCCAGATTGAGTTGGCATTAGGCAAGATCACCGATTTTATCAAGTTCAACACTGGTCTGAAAAAAAAAAAAAAAGAGGGGGCCAAGGAGATAGCTCAGGAGAATAAGCACTTGCCTGGCAAGCATAAGGTCCTGAGTTCAATCCTGGCACTGAAAAAAAAAAAAAAAAAAAAGACACTGGTAACCTGTGTACGGTGACCAGAGGTGCTAACCTGGGAAGATTTGGAGTGATCACCCATAGAGAGAAGCACCCTGGCTCTTTAGATGTGCTTCACATGAAAGATGCCAATGGCAACAGCTTTGTCACCCGGCTCTCCAACATCTTCATCTCAGGAAAGGCAGCAAGCCGTGGATTTCTCTTCCATGAGGAAAAGGAATCCACTTCCCCATTGCTGAAGAAAGAGATAAGAGACTGGCAGCCAAACAGAGCAGTGGGTGAGATGGTCTCTAATGACACATTACAGAGGTCTCTGTGTTTAAAGATAATAGAGCACAAAAAATAGTTGAAGAAACATAAGCAAATGCTTAGAAATTGAAGAAGCTCAAAGAGGATTTTTTTTTTTTTCTTTTGTGGAACCGGGGATTGAGCTCAGATCCTTGTGCTTGCCAGGGAAGCACTTATTCCCCTGAGCCATTTCCCTGGCCCCCTCAAAAAGGATTTAAAAGGCAAAAGATTTATGCAATCTTTTGATACCAGAGTATCAAAGAAGATTTAATTGAACAGATAAGGAAGGAAATTCACTGCAGTGTCTGCCATACTTAGAAGTGATATAATCAGTAGACGTTTGGGGAAAGGATTTATTAAGCTTAAGTCATTGTAGGAGTCAGAAATCACAGAATAACTATACTTCAGGGACACTGGGGTCACCTTACCATAGTAACTGGGTGGAGGGAAGCCACAAGAAGCAGTCATGGAGAAGGAGTGACCTAGTAGCAGATCCCTGAAAAGTTTAAGCAGTGCGAAATGCAGATTGTGGAAGATATGGTGGTCCTACGGCCCATGGAGAGGAGTCCCATGGCCTGTGGAGAGAAACCAGGCTTCTCAAGTACTGTTTTCTGAGGAGGCCGAGTCTGAAAGTGCTGACTTTTGCCTCCTACCTCCCTGTTGCCTACTTCTAGCACAGAACTTACTGGTCCATTTGCCTTCATCATTTGCCAGTGCGATCAGGTAATACCTTGCCTTAGATGGAGCTACAAAGTGGTGTAGTCAGAAGAAGGGGTTCTGCAGCTGGGAAGGAGCCTTAGGAGCCCACAACTCAAGAAGTATAGAACATGTATTCACTGAAATCACAGCAAGGAGTTTTCCAAATCTAGGTAAATGATTCAATATTCTAGTAGAAGAGGCATATGGAACTCGAAATTGCCATAACCAGAAAAGAAACTGTCTATAAAATATCATAATAAATATTTCAGAAATTTAACAAAAGAGAAAACATTAAAAACTGTTAAGAAAAACTAATAAATGATCCACAAAGGCATGCCTATTAGAATAACTATGGATTTCTCAGCCGAGACCTGGGTGGAGAGAGCTTGAGATGAACTGTCTCAAGAGCTAAGAAAACAATTGTTGACCCAGATTTATATTCTGTAAAATTAGCTTTCAGAATTGATAAAGAAGTAGATTTTTCATGACACAGAAATATTGAAGAAGTACATAACTACTAAACCAGTGTTGCAGAAAATACTTAAGGGAATCCTAAACAAAGTCAGAGATGCCACCAGTGCTAAAGATCTCAAAGCAAATTATGCATCTAACTGAGAAAGTAGTTAAAGAAAAAGAAAGAAGTTGTTAAAAGAATCAGATTGGAAAACAATGTAATTATAGGAATCAATGAATACCTTATCATAATAATTCTCAATGTGAATAGTTTCACCTTCACGATCAAAAGGCACACAATTGCAATCAACCAAAACCAAAATACAACAACGTGGTGTTGCTTGTAGCAGAAAACCACCTCCACCAGCCAGTATACTTCAGTTTCAGTTAGTTGCTCAGGTAACCTTTAGTTTACTTCAGTTTCTATCATAGTTCCTGTTATTTCTGTTTATCAGAAAAAGTTGGTTACTCTGATGCATGCCTGGTCACTATGAAGCATATTATATGAACCCATCTCCCACTGACAAGTCATGCGGTCTCTTTACCTTCCATTTGCAGTCTTATAAAAACTTCCCTCCTTGAGTCTTCAGGGTCTGAAATTATTTTACAGTTCAGTGTCTATCAGCATCAAATAAATCTGCCTCAAAATCCTGGGTGACATTTCAGTGTTTCTGTTTGCTGCTGCATCTGGTGTGTTAGCCAGGAAGACTGACCATGTTGACCTCTTTGGCCAACGGTTATGACCCTTGTGGATGGAGCAAGGACCTCTCTACGTCCTGATGAGAAGTCATACCCCTGAGATTTCTTGAGTCCACTTGAAGGTCTGGAGGAGGATTCTTGACTCCTTGTTTGAGTGGCTCACAGCAGACCCAGAAAGGAGGCAGGTGAAGCCTTTGTGTGGTTTGGGGGAAGGAAAGTTTAACCTCTGAATACCTGTTAGATAATTGTGTGAGTGTTTGTAATGAGTGGTGAAAGCAATAGACCTTTGTGCTGTGCTCCATGGTGAAGAGGAAGGATTTTGCTCCTGCTGGAGACCATTATGCAGGGCTCTGAGTGGATCTAAATTTTTAAGACTGAAGCTGCAGGCATTTCGCTCTTGGGTGGTGACTTTCCTAGAGAGGACACAGTTCTCCTAAATTAACAGAATGTCTCACTTGAGAAGTCTTTGAGTGGACTTCTAAGGTCCTTGAATGGCCCTATCATTCAAGACAGAGTCCTGCCTTTCTTCAGTACTCCCCACCTTGTTTTGATAACTAAATAAATACAGGCTTCCCAGAGAAGATTTTTGTCTTAGCCCTCAGAGAATCTCATATTTTGTGAGAGGGTTTTGATCCTCCTGGAGCCCTGAAATAATTTCATTTATCTCATTTATTTAACCTTTTACTATTCACTCATTTGGGAATTGCAGGCCTGAGCACTCCACAATCACTAAGGGGTAATATTAACATGATATTCTCCAAACTGCAGAGTTTCATTAGGCCCCAACCTGCAGTTCCATGGATACATCTAGAAAGGACAAAACAGAGAACCTACCAATGCATCTCTGTAGTTCTGATAGCTCCAACATTGCCTAGAGGCAAGCAGCCAGCTGGGCATCTGAATGGCCTCTCTCTGAGGGGCACCCACCCTTTGTGTTGAGTCATCATTTAGGGTTATTCACCATACAAATAGAGGGTCAAAATCAGAAATAATTAGTCAGAATCCATGGTCCCTGACTGCAGGCCCAAGGATTTTTTAAAAGGGTTTTTCTGGCATTTACATTAAAATGAAATTGAATATTGCAAGACTCCCTTAGACTCTTTGCTCCCTGAGCCTGAAGAAAGACCTGAGAATTCTGACCTGGCAGATGCTGCTGCAGTTCCTTCCACCGCCACCTCTCCATTCAGCAAAAGGAAACAAAGCAACCCAGTCAAGAACTCCTCGAAGGCATCAAAAAGGGGAAGAAAAAGCCCATAAATGTGTCAAAAGTTACTACTGCTACCCAGAAAGCAGATATAAGCCCTTCACATTTTTATGAGACATAAAACTACATTCCTTATCATCTTAGGCCCCTGGAAATCCACAAATGATAACTGACTTGATCACACATGTCCACAAGAAATTCTAGTCAGATAGATCACCATACACTCTGGCCAAAGACCAACATGCAAGTTATAAGGGCTATGGATGCTAAAACTAAATGCCCATTCAGACTAAAAGAGACTATAAAAAACTTCAACCTGGACCAAACAACAACC